TATATATATATATATATAATATATATATATATATTGGGAACTTGTGCCTCGTGATCAGTCTCTTAAATTCTGTTCGATTCGTGAGAGGCACAAGTGTGCGCGATTCTTATTATTTTTGGCCGTTTTTCGCAGACAGGCGGAGGTTTTATAAAAAGATCGATGACGTAGCTCGGCGAGCGCTTCTTGTTAATAAACAATCGTCAGTGCAGCGGCGAAACACAGCGGCATTATAAATCGCGGAAATGCGATGTAACAGGATGTAAACTGTTTGCACCCCCCCCAGAGGCAGTAGACAGAGGTAGTAGACATTTTGATACGTGCGAGAGGGCGATCGTCCAGAGTCTTTGGGTTAATACGCTCTGCATTCCGTTACACATTTTTACCGTTGTATCATATATTGAACATTACATTTTTGCGCGCATACGCTGAATTACGCCCGTGACTTGCCGTGACTTCCTCCACGGACACTCGTTTATCTATCTATCGATGATACTCAAACAACATGGTCGTGACGGAGCTCGTAAAGGGGCCCTCACCTTCTTTCCCCGACATTCCGGCACGCTGCCTCTGACTGGGCGCCTGGAAAGGTAAACACAATTGTTACGAAACAATAATAACGTCTGCAGCTTTACTTTGTTCCTATCACCAATTCTTACTAAGATAGAAAAGAATTACCACTCGATCTTTTTTTATTTCTCCATCTTTTTTATTTTACTTTATACTTGTCATCTGCTAAATTTACTTTAATTCAATGACTAACGACGTAAAGCGTGATGCGAAGTTTTATAATTTATAATTATTAAAAAAATATACAGCCGCAAACTTACAAAATTATATTTTAAAAATTATATTTTTTTAATTATAATAAATAAAAATTTACTTTTTCTACTATGTGTTTTGTGTGCGTCGTGCGTCGATGTGTTTATATATTTCTTTCTCGATTAATAGACTTACGATGAGACATTGGCGATTTAAATCTTGTAAAATTGAATTTAAATTTAATTAGTTCGGAATTTCAATACGATCGCGTATTCAAACGAACCTGATCTTCAGAGAGATCATAAGAATTACGATTGGATTAACATTTGGCTGACCGTGCGCCACGTGAATCGAACGCCTACCTTCTTCTTCGCGACGTTTCCCAAATTTGTCCTAGATCGATTCTCAGATTGGAGAACGGGCCTATTAGAGACGGAGACCACCAGAGACGGAAGAGGGAAGTGCACGGTAGCACGCACATCCGGTACGTACACGCGAGGTACGCGGCATTCGTTCTAAGTTCGAGGCATCGGCACTTTCGAGGCTTCGAGGGCCGTTTCGCGCGGAAATAGCTCTGACCCTGTTTTTCGTTACGTTCGGAAAATTGGGAAGAAGCGGGCTAGACAGCGCGCTGATTTGCACGCGGGACGACCATGATAGGTAAGGCGGTAATGGCGAACACGGTGTGTGCCACGAGGTCGCATTTTATAAATAGGCCGAACGAGTTGCAGCGCGTAGGTAGACGCTTTTGAGTGCTCCCGCGAGGAAGTGCTCGCGTTTCGCTCGTCGTGATTTCGAGATTTCATTATCGCGAACTCGCGCGAACTCGCGTTTCGACGAATGAACGGGACCGCCGGGGAAATTCGATCGAACAGATTGAAAATAATTCCCTTGCGACTTGACTTCCCTCCTTGCGATTTTTTTTGTTGATTTTTTTTGGTCGCGTCGAAAAAGAATTTTATATATAGCAGTCTCTGTTTAATTTGCTTCAAAAATAAAAAAAAAATAATCTTTTTCTAAGTTTAACTTTCTTAATTTTCTAGATTAACTTTTTTAAAGTTTCTGAAAAAAAAAAAAAAAAACGACTAGATTATTGCGTAGATTATTGCGTTGAATTTTGTCCGTTTTAATAAATGTCCAGCAAAGCCATTATAAAAATTATATTATAATATCATAAAGCATATTCTAAAATTTTTAATGTTTTTTTCTAGACTTTATGGATATTCTTCCATTTTCTTTTTGTCCGAAAAGACAAAACAAGCGATAATATATCTTCTTATTTTTTACCTTATCGTTATTTTTTCAAATAAATGAATAAATAACTTATTATTTAATGTGATATCATTTAACTTTGTGTATCCGTTTGTTACATGTCCTAGATCGCGAATTATTAACTTTAATCCCTCCGGACCCAATTTCATCCCTCCGAACCTATTTCGTCTTTACACGTTCCGATTGCATAGCCGTGACTTTTAGTAAATGATTCTATATGGCAGCATGCCAACGATCACTTTACCATCCTGTTACTTGAAGCTCGCCGACTCACGATGACGGCCTCGTCGAATTTTCGCTTCGTCGACGGTCACGTATTTTCGGATACAGGAATGCAGTTTTCATAGACTGCGCTCCCGTTTGCGAACTTGACGAAGTTACCGAAAAGTATTTTATAAAAACCACAACCAATCGAAATTCAAGTGAAATATTTTAAAAGAGCATGCTATGCAAAATATCAATCAAATCCTTAAAATGTGTTTTTTTTCTAAAATTATTTCAATATAACGATTATAAATATAACTTTGTTTTTAAAATATGTGAAAGATCAATTTCATCTTCAACTACTTCTTCTTTTATGTTAAAAATAAAAAACAATGAGCATTATCCACGTGAATTTCATATTCATCTTGATATTTTTTTATAAAAAAATTTTTTTAAAAAGATTTGAGAAATATTTGATGAAAAACTTTATGAGAATTTTTTTATAAAAAATTTGAGAAGTGTTTCGTGTGTGTATGTGTGTGCCAGAAGCTTTGGCGCATTCAGAGTAAAAATAACATTTATGATGTTAATAATAAACCATCCACTCATAACCTAAAACTTCTGAAGGCTTTTTTTAATAATTATTTTTTATCAAAATTTGATTTTAAAAAATCAGTATTTTAATAATAATTTGATTGGTATTTTGAGTCATCTACCTATAACCCGCGTCGCGATTCTATAATTATCTTATTTGAAAATCTTAAATATAATAATTAAAATTTCTTAAAAGATTCTATAAAAAGTAATTTAGATTGTAAGAAAGGAAGATGTGTACTAGTTAAAAAATTTTCTACGCCGTTGTAAGATAAAATATAATGTTTTCATTCAACGTCATATTTTATTATCTATTCAATTTGTTCACTTTTATAATAACACATGCACGTACAACAATAATCCTACCCTAATTTCATATAAAATTAATTTTAATAAAAATCAAGAATAACTGATTTTTTTTACTTCAGTCATTAGCGGTATCGAATAATAAATTCCGAAAAAAAAAATCTATTATTAATTGCGCTAAGAAATTTAGGATTTAATCACCAACTTTACGATAATTTAGCTTTAGCAATTACGAAATATCCAAATATCATCACATCATCAGCTGTCTGATCGTGTTCGAAAGTGATTCGCCGCTTCGGAAAGTTTATACAGTCTTTTTTTAATTCGGACTCGCGAGAAACGCCGAGAACACGCCGAGATCTCCGGCGGGGGAAGGGGCGGATGCGAAAGGGGTCAGATTTTACCTTTAAGGATCGGAGGACCAACGTCGGATGGCAGTGAGAGGCCCAAGCCTTCGGGTGACTGCGACGAGCGGCCGTCTCGCCACCACCGAACTCTCGCCGTTCCGGTGATTATTGCTGGCGGTGGCGGCGGCGGTGGTGGTGGTGGTGATGGTGGTGGTGGTGATGATGATGGTGGTGGTGGTGGTGGTGGTGGTGGTGGCGGTGCACCGCGGTGGACGATGCCTCGCGCTATCAGCGTCGCCGTTAAAAGCACCGGGCGTCACCGGGCCCGAATTAGACGACCCGAAATAGCGGAATTATTGGCGGCGGCGTAGCATCCCCGTCTCTTGGACGCGGCATACCGCGGTGCCGCGGCCCCGAGGAACGAGCCCGGAATACGGCCCGGTCGCACTTCCGCTACCGGTACGTGCGACTCGACGCGACGCTCGTTTATCTAGCATCGGCAATTCGGGGAACATCGCGGCGCGCAACTCCCGCTCTCCCGTGTGCATCCCGAGGAAAGTGGCGTGACGTCAGCCGAGAAAGAAGAAACTTGTGCCAGAGGCGTTTTATGCATCGAAGCGTTTTGGGACAGGAAAACTTTAACCAAGTTACAAGTCGCTTGTCCGACTTGTGTGTTAAATCGATTGAACGTATTAGCGTAATTAATGTCGTGTCGGTTATTAGAATTCATAGATAGTGTGATTAGATAAGTAGGAGATTATAAACATGCAATTTAATGTTTATAACGCACGATTTTTTTATCGTTTAATATTCTAGACAGATTTCAATTGTTTGAAGTTTTTTTATATGTTTAAATTGCTTTAAATATTATTTTTTAATCATTTCATTTTCTACATATAAATAAATATTATTTAAGTGTAAAAGTAATTATTAAACTAATTTTTGTAATAAAGAAATCTTTTTTACTTTTTTCGTAAATTACTTAGTAACTTTTTCTTTAAATTCCTCTATATAATAAACATATAAAAATAAAATAAAATAAAAGTTTGATCTATTTATGTATTAGAAATCTATTTATGTATTAGACAGTGACTTTTTTCACGATTAAAATCTTCCGTAAATTAGTCAAGATTTTCTAATAAACTTACAATTCTATTTTCATGATTTCAAACCGAGTCGTCCGCTCGCGACAGACTCAAATCAGTTTTTATTGTAAGAGATGCAATTATTAGAGAATTCTCAGGAATTTTGAAAGCTCTTATTTAGCTTGCCAGAAAAGTTATCTCGTTTGCCGGCATCGATGTCACCCGCATGCCATCCGCGCGCGCGCACGTCGTCATTGGTGTCGTCATACGGAATTGCTGATGGCAGATCCATCGAACGAGACAAAAAAAGAAGGGCATGAAATGCAGTAGTGTATCATGCAAGATTTATTGGAACACCTCGTTTAAAGTATTGAAACCTCGTTTACGATTGTTAATTTTTATATTATCTTGAATAAACGAAAGCAATTGAGTAAATCAAATTTCAAGAATATAGATATTTAACAATCGTCGTGTCTAATTAATTTGTGCGATATTTATTCAAATCCTAATATAAAATTATAATTTAATTACAAAGTGTTACGCGATAATTAAGAAAGTGAAAAATAGTGAAAAAACGATGAGAAAACTTCCTTGATATTTTGTTTCTTATTGCGAAAATATCTAAATTATCTGGAAAGTCTTTCATTTGCGTTGTAGATAATTTCATTGTCCTACTTGTAATACTATTTGTAATATTACTCGTAATATAATATTTATGTTTCTCTAATCGGATATTTATAAAACGCATTTAGCTTGAAAAGCGAGCGATAGAAGTCAAGTCACGAGCAAACGAAGGAATCAGATCAGCTGATTCGACATGGACACCTTTCTCGTCGAACCGTTCTCCATCCCTCTCGCCTTTCTCTCTCGTTCTCCCCTGCCGATGACCATCACGGTGACAGCCCCACCCGCGGCATCACCTTCTCTTTTTCTCTCTCCGTCTCTCTCTCCCGCCGAGGTAATCGCACGAGGTCGTCTGTTCGTTGGTAGAAACCGCTTTCCAACCGGAGCCTGTTAACCCACTCTCGGGGCCTCCAGTACGCTCGCCGTCTTCGGTCCCACATGTCGCACGGTGCGCGAGTACGCTTTAGACGCATGCCGAGAATTTCACAAGCGTTTTGGCAACTCCGACCTTGATCCGAGCCCGCTGCTCGCAGGTAAACTATCTCTTCGAAGATAAAAACTCTCATGGGATTTAAAGATGCGCGTCAAGGTCAGCCGGGAAACGCCGGCTTTTTTATGGTATTTACGCCAATGGCTGAGATTACGCCTCTCTAATGTCGTCTCGGAATAACCATCAATCGTCAATTTGAATCTCTTTTTGGCGATATCATCCAGATAGAAATCCGTTGGTGTTTCTCCGAGGACAAAAGAAGGATATCTAAAAAAAAAGTGTCTAGAAGATATCTCGAATTTTGTGTGCTTGTTTTTCGTCGATGGTTGTCCTTTTTTTTCAAATAACAAATAAAGATGTCCAAAGTAGTGTACGATTTGCAAAGGGAATATCATATCCGATCGTAGGCTAGAATTTACCTTTGCCTATGATAATGCGAGGATGGTAATGCAATTTTTTGCTCGAGTGGCCCAGATTCCGGCGAGCTGAAGCTAGCTGATTCAGGAACATGAAGGGATGGTTCGACGCCTTCCGCAACGATGGCGGCCCGACGCTCTACAGCTACAGCAATCGCACCCCCGTCACAGGTGACGTTCCCCTGGTAATCGTGTTCGTGGTATTCGGTACCCTGTTCACGGCGTTTCTAGTCATATTTCCGGGTGTCAGGAAAGAGGTGAGCAGTTTTTCACTCCAATCGTCGAGTCCGATCGTGACCGACGATTTATAGTTAATTATACGAGAGAGTGTTCTGACCTGGTGTAAACCTGGTGTAAACCTGGTGTTTCTCCCGCCGCAGCGGTTAACCACATTTCTCACAGTTACCCTGAGCCTCTTCGTGGGTGCGACGATTCAAGGTGCGTGCACTTTGTCTACTTTCCAAGTCAAGAGGCCTTGGCTGCCAGTGGCGTAACCAACGGCCTCGAACGGAGCTCGAATCGTAGAAGCTTGACGAGACCGGACAAAAAAAGAAGAAGAAAAAAAAAGAAGAGAATTAAATCAGTAAGAGAGTGAAAAAAAAAAAATAAAAACATCGAACTGACTCAGATTTTGCGGCAGTAAATCTTGTTATATACTTATATATTTCATTTTCCTCTCGACATACGTGTATCGTTCACCATTTTTATTTTTAAAGACAAATTTAAAAAGATTAAAGAAAAATTAAGAACTACGTGGTCGAAGATTACTTGTAGTAGAGTTGGTTACGCCACTGCCGGCTCGTAGTACCCGCGATAAACCGCGTGTTTAACGCTAAAGATATACTTCTTCGGCTGTCACATAAAATTGCGAAATCTTTCCCCGGGATGATTAATCGAGATAATCATCACAAATGTAACGCGCCGCGAACGGCGCGGAGGAATAATCGTCGCGTTCTCTCTGTGTGACGCGCAGTGGCGCAATACGGCTCATCCTGGCACACGAGCTCCGCTACCATTGTCAGCTCGTACAGCGCTTTCTCCAGGCATAAGGCAACGGCCGACATCGGCGGTTACATCGGCTTGATGCACATCAATATAACGTACAGGTGTAAGTTTTCAGCAAGGAAAGCGCTAAACGCTTTGCATCTAAGTCTTTTTACATGTGTTTCTACCATTCAAGGAAAGCTAAACGCTTCGCATCTAAGTCTTTTTACATGTGTTTCTACTTATTCAAGATATCGGATGATCGAAATATATCGACAAAATAAGAAGAATTAAAGTCTTGATCATCGAAATTAAGATTTTGAGTCTTGAAATTAAAATTGAAATCCCTGGGCTATTTTACTTACGCGACTTTTGAATAAATTTTACACAGATATTGTAGTTTACGTTGTAATCTTCAGCCCGGACTTTATTCTCGCAGTATTACCAGATAGCGAACAGACCAATGGCGACGTAGAGTACAACGAACGATTTTGGTGGCGAAGTTCCGGCGAGATGACGAGCGCCTTCAAGCAGGCCCTCTTCCAGGGCGCGCCGTTCCCCATCGTTTCCTTGGCGGAATACTTCAGTCTGCACCAGGAGGGATTCTCCTGGGGCTCGCGGTATCGCGAAGCTGGATATTACGCCTCGATAATGCTATGGTACGCTACTTCCGTTTTCGTAACATACCTACCTTTACAATGTATATTAATTTTAATGTTGATTTACTCTTTTACCCTTTTTCTAACTTTTAGAATTAAAAAGAGATAGAAAGTAAGTTGAAATGAGAATAAAATTAATTTATATTAAAAATGTAAAACGTAAAAAGATTATTTAATAATTTGAAGCATTTTTTTTCATTTTTTGCTTAACGCATGTGTAAAGTAAAAAATTTCTTGCAGGGCCTCCTTCGCCTCGTGGCTTATGATGAATTTGTTACTAATGGTGGTACCGCGATACGGAGCGTACGGCATGATTTTTACGGGACTCTGCATGCTGTGCACAAATTTAATCTACACGGCGCTTTTGCCATGCGAGCCTCTGATAGCTCATATCGAGGGCTCGATTCTTTCCTTCAATCTTGGCTGGAACTACTGGTTGGTGTTGTCAGCCGGTTCGTGTCCCCGTGTAAAACGATTTAATTTACGCCAATGTGCAAACATACACATATACGTATATGATTTCTCCTCCTCCTCCAGGTGCTGCGTGTCTCTTCGCGGGACTCGTAATAACAGCTATAGATATGATTTTCCCTCATCAATTCTCGACCATACTCGAGGTCGACTACGACACGCCGTATGACAGGCATGTTATTATAGAGGAGAGTTTCGACACCCGCAACGTTAGGCGGAAGGTTCCGAAGATCGAAGATTCGTTCGGCGATCGAATAATGAGGTTTTCGCATTACAATCAGTTTTACTGAATTACTCTTTCGCGCCCCGCGCGTTCTACAATTCTGAAAATGTTTCAGTCAACTGTCGTCCAAACTTCAGAGTAGACACACCGCTAAAGAGGACATCGAAGGCGTCATTAATCAAGGATATACGTCGCACGAGCTATCCGAATTTCCTCAGGAGATCGGCGACGAGCCTGGCAAGAGTAATTGGTCGTATCCATTCCCGCCGACCTCCCGTAGAACCGTCAACGGTTAATATATTTTCTGGATACTGCAGATAGCTACAATACTTTCCCCATTATTAAAAATATATTTAAATATATATTTTATAAATAAATATTATTTGATATTTAATAAAAAAAAATTGAAAATATTTCTGTGACTTGACTTATCCTTGGAACATTTAAAATATACAATTACAAAAAAAAAAATTTACAAGTTATAATAAGTTATAAAAAAATGGCGATTGAGTTTTTCGACTGGTGGGATAGAAAGGCTAAAGCAGGAAGAAAGAAATCTCATTCTTTTGTTCATAAATAAGAAATATAATAGTTCATTATAGTTAATAAATAGTAAAAAGCAGCACATAAATATGTACATTCTGCAGTAAACCGTCGAAGGGATGGAACGTTGTCAATCACATTGACAGTCCGTCATCTCATACGCATGGGGTGCAGTGTAGACTAGCCGAAGTTTTCGAAGTGATGAATGAAATACGGCAGGCGCCGCGTTTTGTTGACTTCGTCGCAGGCCGACATGACGCTTTTCGTCAGAGGACGCGGTCCACAGCTGAATACTCCTATTTTGCTAACCTGTAAATCAATGTCCTGTTCAAATGCATGTAGTATGCATAATTCAAAAAATAATATCAACGTATACAAGCTGGGCGAAAACACGAAGGGACACGTTTTTAATTCTTCTTGGATTTTTCTTGGACGCCCTTCGAATTTTGCACGCTAAACGGGTGCATTCGTTATAAAAATGAATACGTAAAATTAACGCACATAGCTGTGTTTCTTCTGAACGAATTTCAGAAATGACGTCATGTCCGGCCTACCAAAGTGATTGATGGCTTTCAGTCCGGTAAATATACTCTTCTTCGATAGCCTCTGAAAGTGATTCTCACATATGTACTACATATGTGAAATAGAATAAAATTAATAGATAAGCAATTTAATCAATTATAATAGAATAATTGTTGCACTCATTATGTGCATAGGAATTGCAAAATAAATTGTCTTACCAGCATAGTAGTACGTAAATCGAACTTATGAAAAAACTGCGTGATGAATATGTGAATTTCAAGTACATCCGTAACGTCTTTTCTCTCAACGTCTCTGAGAACGTCGATGAACCATTCAAAGTGTTTGTGCGATGGGCAAATCCATAAAAAATAAACCTATAGAATAAAAAGAAAGTGTACATTATCTAATAAAACGACGGGAATATTTTCTCATTTTAATGAGTCATTAAAATTAACACATTCTAATTACATTCACGTTTCTCTTTTAGATAATGAAACAGACTTTCCAGCAATGAAGCAATCACCGTTCTACTGGTATCAACTTTACCATAACAAAAGTTTTAATTATTTCTTGGCGACACTTTCTTTGAAAAACTTAGCTTTTCGTACAAAATCAAATATCGTTAAATTAATCTCTAATCTGCAAATTATGAATTTGCAAAAGAAATAAAAAAAATTATATTTTTTTTTAATGGTTTATTTCGGTGAGAAAATCCTCGATAGGCGACTTTTTCTTTCAACGCGTACTTACCTTTTTGCACGCGACACCCGAATATCGATTGGTGGACGTTCCGAATACAAGATCATTGAGCATCGAGGCATAAGGAGTGACCCCGATGCCTCCTCCGACCATCACCGCGACCTCAAACTTGTACCAATCTTGATTCCCTCCGCCGAACGGACCTTCTATACGAATTTTCGGGTACTCGTCCTCCGGACTGTAATTGCAGGGATCGAAGTAATTCCGGAGCTTCCACGTCCACGGGCCCTGAGCTTTTATGTGGCACGACAGAAAATTCTCGTGCGGCGCCGAGGTCAGCGTGAAGGAGTGAAACTCGTTGGATCTGAAAGCGGTACAGGCGAGACGCACCCACTGACCCGATAAATACTTCAAGTTTGGAGGCCTGTAGAATTTGATCTTTATCACGTCGGAAGGTAGTAATTCCGTCTCGATAATATCCAGGGCCATATATTTAGTTCGCAGACTCACGACCTGAAACCGACAATATTCGGCATAACACTCGACGATTATTTTCATCGCAATAATAATGAATTATTTTAGACGGGGGGGACACGACTAGCAATTAACAAGTGTTAAGAAATAACATGTAATACACAAGACTTGTTACATCATATATGATTCATGCATAATTAATAAAGTTTTATAATTATATATAGTTGTATGAATGGGCAAACGCTAAAAGTCCTTTCTTTTCTTCGCGTCGCCGTTCCACAAAAAAAGCGTGTATAAAATTTTACTTTGTCTAGAGAAAAGCGTGTATAAAATTACTTTGTCCAGCGCATAAATGATCGCCGGGCCGACGAAGAATATCCAGAATCGCGGTGCGCCTGTCAAACGGGCCAAGCCGTGAATCAGGCACAATGCGTACAGGACCACGTAGAGGCTGTGGGTCGACCAGAAGAACTTGTAGGCTTTCTGCCGTATGGTCGGGTGCGCGAAAACAAATATGATCGTCATGATGACAAAGAGAAGAATACCGGTTAGACCTGCAACGAAACGAGAGAGTTCAACTGAACGTTCGGCACGTTCGAACGAGATTGCGGGATCTCCGCGACGGGAGGACGTACTAGAGCACGTACCGGTCACTGTTCTAAACAGCCAGAAGGAAATAGTAGGTCGCGCGTCGCTGGGAAAGCTGATCTCGCTGGTGAGGCAGCGGAGATGCGCTATCGGCTGCGTGGAAACGTGATAAAAGTTGACTATGTGGCCGACCGTGTGCAGCACGGAGAAAAACAGTGCCGTACACGCTGCGATCTTGTGGAATTGTATGTGCGAGTCCAGCGGGATGTACTGCTGGATCGAGAATTCCTTCAGCTTCGTTAGCAGATTACGCGACATCGTCAGCAGTAAAAGGCTGTAGCAAAAGGATAGCGCGGCTGCTGATCCTCGAGTTATGGCGATTCCTACGCCCATTATATGTCTGAGATCTGTGTGTTCCGCCATAAAGGAGTAATCTAGAAACGAAAAAAAAAAAAAAAAAAAAAAAAAAAAAAAAAAAA